CTGCAAACTTCCTGAGGGAGCACTCAATCCCTCACTCACATCATTGATAAAGATGTTAAACAGGATTGCCCCCAAAATGGAGCCCTGGGGAACACTGCTTGTGAGTGGTCGCCAACTGGATTTAGCTCCATTCACCACAACTCTCTGTGCTTGGCCAGTTTTTAACCCAGCAAAGTGTATGCCCATCCAAGCCATGCCCAGACAGCTTCTCCAGGAGGATGCAGTGGGAGACAGTGTCAAAGACCTTACTGAAGTCCATGTAGACAACGTCCACAGTCTTCCCCTCATCCACCAAGTAGGTCACCTCATCAATGATTGTCTAGTCCAACTGCTTGACCACTTCAGGGCCGACCAAAAGCTAAAGCAAATTATTAACGGCATTGTTGAAGTGCCTCTTAAACACTGACAGGCAATGGGGCATTGACCATCTCTCTAGGGAGCTTGTTCCAGTGTTTAGCCACTCTTCTGATAAAGAAATGTTTCCTAATGTCATCTGAACCTCCCCTGATGCAGCTATGAACCATTCCCATGCGTCTTATCACAAAATCCCAGGGAGAAGAGATCAGGATCTCCCTCTCCAATTCCCGTTCTCAGGAAGCTGTAGAGAGCAATGAGGTTGCACTTCAGTCTCCTTTTCTCCAAACTAAACAAACCCAAAGTCCTTAGCCACTACTCATAGGACACGCCTTCCAGCCTTTTCACCAGCTTTGTTGCCTTCCTCTGGACACATTAAAGTACTTCAGCAACAGAATTTGGCATTTATTCTTGTTATATTTCCTGCCACTGATGACTGCCCAATGCTCCAATCTAGCTAGATCCCTCTGCAAGGCCTCCTGTTGCTCAAGACAGTCAACAGCACCTCCCAGATTAGTATCGTCCAGTATCAGTCCAAATACTACTGCAGAGTGCTGTACTCTCTGTACCATTATTAAGAATAAAGCCCTGGTCCACCACAACAGCTCTAGATTTTATTAACATTAAGTATAATCAGCTTTCTGGAGATAAGAACAAAGGTATGTCATTCATTCACTCACTTTATATTCTCATTTGAAGGTACTTCTGGAAGTTCCACAGTTATCATGCCATCTAAGTTGGTCTTTCCAATGAAGACTGGCTTGGTGCGAAGCACATCTGGTGCAGTTTTTGCTGTCACTCTGTGCTGAAGACCCCCAGCACTATTCCCTCTGTTCGTCAGCACAAATGAATATGATGTCTCTGGCTTCAAGTTAGTGATCAGCTTTTGAGTAGCACGTCCATCCACCTCCACCACCATTTTCCCATCATCATAAAGGATCTAAGTTCATGCATAAATTGAAGGTGGTTTTGGTTATTAAGAGAAGTCAACTGATACTGTCACACTAAATTCAGGAATGAACCTAGCTATAAGTGTAAAATGAAAGTTACTGGGCATTTTAGGTTGTAAGTTAGTACTAAATTCATTACTGAAATTAAACTCTCTTTCGAGGGAAAAAGAAGAACTATGTTCATTTAAAGCAGTGTAAGCACTCATAGAATCCAGTTTCACTTATTCCGATTCAGTCTTTTTTCTTGAACCCAGAATTTACATCAAGGCACACTTGCTCATAAAGGTACCGTGACTTTTTTATTCACATTCATTCATTTTATTCAGAAAGATTTTTGCTCATCACTCACCACTGCCTGAGATGACAAAGTGATGAAGAATGATGTAGAAGAAATGCTAGTCAGACTACAGGTTACATTGAGTCTCTTTATCTAGCTAATGCTATAGTTAGTGAAGTCAAAGAGTTGTAACACAAAAGTGTGTTGATGTAAGTGTGAAAAGACAAAAACCAAAAAGGTACTCAGTTACAGTCACTACAGAAATGACTCAATTAAAAAAAGAAAAAAATTATTCTATTTTTTTCACTGTTTTCTCTAAAATACAGTAGCAATGAACTACAAATAAGCAAGGTGTTCATACCATACATAATAACCAGTATGAGGCTGGCTTGGAAATACTGCCGCAACAATGGAAAGCTTATATTGCCAAAACCCTGAATTTAACAGCTTGGGTCAATATTGTTGATTAGTTTGCATTCTCAAATATAGCAATACCAAAAAAATCCACATGTTCAGTAAGCTACTTAACTAGGTGAATGACATTCTCTAGTTTCTGTAGTTTTTTTCTCATACAGATGGAAATTAATTTACCTTGAAAGGCAAGGCTGAATTGTAATTTTCTGGAATTTCCCAGGACAGCAAAACAGAAGTCTTCATTACTGCTTTAACATGAAAATTTTTTGCAAACACTGCTGGAAAGAAAGAAACAATGTATATAAACAAGATCTTGGAGCTTAGATATTGTCATATTTCCAGCACTACTTGGGACTATTAGCTTTACATCTAGGTCAAAAACCAACAAGGACTCGATTATCCTACCTGTTTGCTCATATTTAAATATCACATTTTAACTCATTCTCACTCTTATCTAGTGACAACTCAACAGGTACATTTTCCTTACCTGAAAAGATTGTGAAGATGTTAGCCAGAACTTGCTTGGCAAGAGACAACTGAATTCTAAGGCATCCAAAACATATCAAGATTTACATACTTTACCTTTAGTGTTTGATGAACCTACTTTTATGAATGGGCCAGTCAGTTTTATTTACAGCTTCAAAAACACTGATATCCATAGACTGATACTCCTTTAAAGGTCAACGTCATAAGCAGACAAATCCTACCTTGATCCACGGGTAGTGTCCTGAACTGGACACTTGGACTATATGGACCAGGCCCTTTGCTTGTGTGGGCACGTACTTTTACATCATATGTGGTATCTGGTTTTAAGCCAGAAAGTGTCATAGAAGTATCTGCAGGAACAACTAAGAGTTCAACTGGCTGGTAAGCAACATTGATATCTCGGTACAAGATGGTATATTTGGTGATAATGCCATTTCTTTCTGCCAAGAGTGGCATCTGCCAGGTTAATTGAACTGATGTAGAAGTAGAGCTTTCTGAGTGGAGATGTTGGGGAAATCCACTGGGCACCTCTTCAGGAACAGAAATCTCTTTAACCATCTCCTCCCCAAAGCCCACTTTATTTCTAGCTGAGAGCCTGAAGACGTAAGAAGCTCCTTTGTGAATGTCTGTGGCTGTGAAGTGATCTTCCTTCTCTGAGAACTCCATGGTTGTAAATGTATCCATGTCTTTGCGACCGAATTTCAGGCGATAACCCTGCAGCGGGCCAAAGGTGTCCACGGGAGGGTGCCACTGAATTAGAGCCGTGTTCATCTGTGTGTGGCTAATCACAAGCCGAGGTTTGCCTGGAACTGTAGCACAATGTTATTTAAAGATGATAAATAAAAACAGAATTGCACGTACAACTCTTGAGGCTAGTTTTAGCAGGAATAGGGATACACTTTCTCTTCCCTCACTCTTAGTCCCACATATTACTGTCTTATGGAAAAAATAATGTCTGCTTCCTGCATTATTGAGTCATACAGTATAATGAACTACGATAGTAAAGCCATTTACTGTTCATTTTACTTTTTTCCCTTGTCACTTTTTCTAAATACAGAAAACATTTAGAGGCATATGACTTAAGAACACAGTTCAAGAACTAAAACTTCAAACAGTCATCTTATGAATGGTTCTGTCTCACTTACAAATCCTTGTTTGCAAAAAAAAGTGTATTGTCATAAGTATTCATTAATTTTATCCAAGGCACAATTCTGTCACTCCTGTAAATGGAAAAATAATTAATGATAATCATAATAATAGTAGTAGCAATAATGGAGAAATTACAAGTTTCCAGATGTGTCTAAAATAATTTTTGCCATTGATTGACAGTTAAACTGTGGTAGAAGGGAAGTCAGACCAACCTTGTCATCAACAACCATTACTATGTATGACAGAACCCTATAATTCCACTTTCCATATACAAACCACCTCCAGCTGTTTCAGCTTGGAGAGGTAGCACAGTTTGGAATTCAGTTTCTTGACTGTCCTGGCCTATCACACATGATTTAGTCTCCAGCATGGTCTTGGTGCAAGTGAACTGGATTTCTTCTGAAAAAGACTAAATTGGAATCACTTATTCCAATTGTAAGAGTGTATCTGGAAGCACACCAGATAAACTCAAATGCTTAATTGGGACTGATTGGTTCAAACTGATGATTTGTCTTTCAGAGAAGTTCAGACTGCAAGTGTGGTGAGGACATTCAGTCTACAGGATCAAATCAGCTCTAATTAAGGGGTGAATGAAACTTACAAGGTGTACAGTTTTGGAGTCCTGATATCAATTGCTCTAATTTCCTCTATTTAATTTATGCATTTATTTTTATATATTCATACATTCATATTAATTTACATGCATATATATTTCATGTCTATTTTCATTAATATTTCTATTTCAAAATAGTCTGTTTTGATTACAATTACCTATTTGATAACGAAGCATATCCATAACTATTTAGAAATTTGGTGCTCATTGTGTATCAATGCTTTACAGGTCAAGAGACTAAAATAGTTATGGGAGTATAACACAAAGTTCTTCCACAAAGACTAATTAGTCCCATCTGAATTCAGAGACTTCTCATGTGAATGTAACTGCTGCACTGTGAGCTCTGGTTCCTGTGTTTAAACACTTGAATGGATTTTATTACTTATCTTCAGTTCTCAGGCACCCAGTAAATCAGATTCTTATTGTCAGAAGTTCTGACTACGATTTCACAATGAATTAGGAATAAGGAGGGAGGAATGGCATGGCTTGAAGAAAATTCTGCATTTAATAAGCTCTTTCCTTGTTATATCTGTCATAAGTCATGACATTGCTTCCAATTGCATACGAATTATAGCTATCTTTTATGCAAAGTTTCCAAATATCCTTCCTTTTAAATGTCTTGCTCACTAGCAAGTATTATTCCCAGGAATTTTTTAAGTTTTTTTCCTACACTTTATGCTGTGTAAAGAGTACCCCTCTGACTAGTTCTGACTTTTCCTCATTGATTATTACAAGCCTGTCTGGAACAAAGAGAAGTCTGTGAAGGCCCTTTTCAGACGATATTTTTCTCTACATTATAACTGTTACTGAAACCAATGGAGCATATGAAAGAGAAGAAGAGTCCACACAAATAGAGTAACTCCTTCAGCTTTCTAGTAGAGAGACTGCTGGAAGGTGTCACTAAATTATTTATGAAATAAATTTTATTTGTATTCGTTTTTTCTTTTCTTGTGGAAGACCTCACAGTTAGAACTACTTTTTAATATTCATGTTAAACTACAGTGAAAGACAGAAATTACTACTTTTTATTAATCAGAACAGAGGAACTAATAAAGCTTAATTATCCAATAAAATACACTGTGATCAAAATGGTAAGTAACAACGGCCACTTTTTTTTTTTTTATTAATATGGAGCCTGGTTTTGCAGAGTGTGTGGAGTTCTTCTTTGTTACAATGCAACTACTGATAGGAAAAAAAAAATTTTTCTCTCTGTCTTTTTATTTCCAGATAGATTTCAGTTAACATTTTCTTTTACTAGGATCACTTGTGAATATTACAGTCTTGTGGGACTAACAGCAGGATTCTGTGCAGTGCTGCATACAGTAGCATCATGGAATATCTCTTTTAAAACCTGAATTTGCCATGACCTCACCTGAATCACAGAATGCTAGGAGTTGGAAGGGACCTCGAAAGATCATCCAGTCCAACCCCTCTGCCAGAGCAGGATCACCTAGACTAGGTCACACAGGAACGTGTCCAGGAAGGTTTTGAATGTCTCCAGAGAAGGAGACTCCACACCTCTGTGGGCAGTCTGTTCCAGTGCTCCGTAACCCTTATAGTAAAGAAGTTTTTACTCATGTTCAGATTGAACCTCCTATGCTCCAGCTTACACCCATTGTCCCTTGTCCTATCACTGGCTATCACTGAGAAGAGCCTGGCTCCTTCCTCCTGACATTTGCCAAGTGAAGTTGATCATGAAGTGAAATTGATCATAAAAAAATATATGCTCTGGTCAAGTGAAGTCCATATCCATTACTACACAGCAAGATGTCCCTCACACACCCCTTTACAACATTCATTACACCAAACAGTTGTAATGGCATGCCATTACTAGCAGATGCTCAGGCAAGCTGCCTTTCCCAAATTAGCTGAACTAATTTGTTTCCGTGAGCTGCTAAATTTTCTCCTCTTAGCTGGAATGTGTATTTCAAGAATGCTGTCCAGCACAGAAAGTAAATTCCAAATAATGGACAAGCTGTTGTGCTATGAGATTCTTCAATTACTGTGACTCAGAAATTAAAGGTGAGATTAAAGGCTCCATTAAAATTGTATGATGCCACTGACTAGTAAGTCTTAATTTTTATCAAGGTCTTGTTAAACACATATTTTTTAACTTCTGCCCCAAGTAATGAAAAATGTCAAATACTTTGACTTGGAAATGTTCAGTAATGTTTTTTCTTCCGACTTCAAAAACTAGGAAAGGAAACTGAACATGAGACAAAAACACACTATGAACTGAAAATATTAATCGTATTCAGTGAATTCACCAATAACTGCAGTTACTGTACTGCAGACTCACTTATATTTGGTGAATCTTTCCTGTTTAACAACATAAATGATGTTTTTATATCACTAACTGGACACAGCAGAGTAGTTATTATCTGAACAACTTAAAAATAGTAAGGTTCTCCAGTAAACTTTTATACCTTTATTTTTCTTTCATATATTGTATGGATATAATCTCACTCGTGCTAATACTACTGCACCTGACACAAACCTTTAAAAATTGGACTAGAAAGACAGACCCTTAATTTGGTTCATTGTAGTACTTGAATAGCACCTTTTTAGGAAAAAAAAATATCAAATGGAAACTTTCAGAAAAAAGGAGGGTGTATTTCAGACACACAAGCCCCTGGTATTAATGCATCATTCCTTCAGCTGCCTAATGTATTCTCATAAAATGACAGTTAGCTGGAAACTTTCAGTACTGACTGTATTTATTGTCTCCTTGCCTAGGAAATTTCCTTACAAGAAAGAGCTCAAGCAAACAGGAACAGCAAGTGAAGTAGTGCTCATACAACCTGGAACGTATGAAGGAGCAAAATGGTAAATAGTTGTTGTCCAAGAGAGCAGGAAAAAACAACACTTGTCTACAGGGTGAAACAAACAGCAAGAACAGTGTAATATATATTAAATTTATAGGCATGTCTCCGATTCTCAGTTGCTCCTCAGTCACTCAGGGTTTTATAGGACATGGGATTTGTTTGTCTTCCTAAAGTAGAAGCACCAAAGATCTTGGAAGAGTGAAACATGGATAGTCAATATAGATTAAATGTACAGAAGCTTTAAATTTTGAGAGCAGGTTTGCATAGCCTATGTTGATGTCTAGAAACCAACCAAATCATAATCTATATTATTGTGCTTATTTAAATTGGGAACTGAACTTTAAAAAGAAAAATGGATCTGGTGTATTTTCTTAAATCAAGTTCAAATGCAAGTGAGAAGTATATTATCACTTCTTTTTCCAGACCATGAGAATTCAGGAAAGATAAGAAGCTGGAGGGTAAGTTTCAGCATCAGTCAAGCGTAATGACTAGAAGGTACTCTAAAATCTGGAAAACAACTATATTGTATATCTAGTCACTAAGACTAATATTTTTCCAAGGAAGCTGATGAGACAAGGATATAGTTGATTCTGACATTAGTACAATGTGCTTTACACTCAGTGATCTTTTTTTAATGAGTCAATTAGTATAAACACAGATTCATATGCCTATTGGACTTTATACATTAGCATAAACAATACAGTGTAGTAAAGAAAACTTGTAACAATGCTGAAAAGGCTTACATGTGATTGTAATGAAATATCCTTAAGGGCTACACTACAAAACGCAGAAAACAAACACCTACAGGCTGTCATCACCTGAAGGTGAACACCACACTAAGGCTGTGGTGGCATCATTTGGTTAAGCTGTGTGACAGCGAACGGTTTAAATTTAAAAAACCTTATTCCTCATCTAAAAACAACTGAGTTGATTCCATTAGTGAAATTAATCAGCTGACCTGGTCATGCAGTCAGATTGCTACCATCTAGTACCACCTGTGATCAAAGGCAGACTGAACACAGTGGCATGGCATATTTTGTCCCAGTTATGCCTCAGACTGCCACTGAAGCAAGATGGGCTTCAGGGTTCCACAGGCTGGACTTTCACTGTGTTTTCTAGTTCTCTGCTTCAGTAATCACATTCTTCTGAGATAAGCTGTGACTGCCATACAGATAGGTTCTTTTAGTATTCTTACTGACAGGCAGCAGCACTGCTGCTCTCACAAAGATCAGGAAAGCCATTCACAAGTTTCTCAAATATCCTTTTCAGCCCTGAATTTGTATTTCTTCCTCTCCAAGAAGACACCAATCAGAATGGAAGAGCTACTAGAAAGTATAAAGTATTACAGTTTGGATGAGTCTTGAACTGAAAAAGGGAGAAAAGTGGACACTGGTTCTGTTTTTATCCAAATAAATGAAGGGCCAAATAGTGAAACAGAAAACCCTATGTCCTATAAACACTTTTTACACAACAAATAGTAGGAGAAAAACATGAGCAGCAAAACTCAAAGGCATTATTCAGAGATTAAGGGGTATGTAAGTATTACCTGCACCAGTAGTAGATACGAGTTTGGGCTTGCTGCGTGCTCCATCACCTTTTGTTGTATAGGCTGTCACAGTGAAGGAGTATGTCGTTTCAGGCTGCAGCCCAGAAATTATCATTTCCTAAGATGAAATAAAACAAGAACAATTTATCAAAAATAGACTGTTTTCCAAGAGAGCACAGAATCCTTTAGACATCCCTGTATATTACATACAATGTGGAGCACACTTTTGTGCTACTGGCAGTGATAGCAAGCATTTGAGAGCACCAACAGACTGTTCGGTGTAAAATACTTCATAATGCAAGATAATTCACTCGCTCAAGCATTAAAAGACAGCACACTTCTAGTAGCATGCCTCAGGTAGTTTGAGGTACAAGTCCAGAGGCTTAGTGGTGTGAACAGTGAATAAAACCTTCTGAAATACCTTGCCTGAATAATTCTACTGGTATTGTGAAATCTGATATGTAGATATCAGAAACTCCATTTAACTTACTCATTGACAGGACATCACTGATATAGTTATAAAATGCCTACTAAGAAGAGTGTTGCATTTATAAGTACACTTTATAACTAATCACGGTTTAGTTGAACAAGAAAGACTTGTTACTTTTGTAATGCTTTCATTGCGACCCGTGTCACTGGTTGGATTGTGCATCTAAATCTCAAAGGACTTCAGAAACAACTCACTCTTCAGGTCTAAAAGAACTACCTAAAACTTCATTAAAAATCTGGTCGGAAGCTAAATCTGATGGCCCTCAAACAAATGACACCATCTACAAAACAAGTAGTTCTTCAGCTAGCACAAGTGAATGGGAGCAAGACCAAACTGGAAGTACCAAAAAAACACAAGGGGAGACTTTTTACAAATGTGTGTGCACAAACACGTATACACACACAGAAGATGTTGTAGGAGCAGCCACCTGAAATGAACTAAACATACATCATGCTATAGGTGCAGCCAGAGAAATTTAAGCCTTGACATTCACATTATAAATAAATTTTACATGCAAATACAAAAGCACAGTATTTTGAAGTATCTAACTGGCCCAAAGTTCGCAACTCATCAGCTTCCAGTCTGTAACCACTGAACTACTCCTTTGCGTTTTCACATGCCTGAATTAATTTACACTAAATTCCACAGCTGCCAGAGAGATGGTATATTTATGTGTTTAGAATAAATAGCAAATGTGCTATCACACATCCCTCAGATGCAAAAACCATAAAAGTTAATATAAAAATTATGGGTCAGACTATTCACAGTAAATGGATTTTTCAAGACAGCGGGTATAAGCTTAGTATAGATGTGGTTAGAATTTAGCATTGTATGTACAGTCAGTTATTAGCAATATAGAAATAACATTGTAATCATCAGAATGAAAGGGCAAAAACAGCTCAGATAAAATTAAAACACATAAAAACACATTTAAAAAACCCTTCTTAGAATCTTATCTCTGAACATGAGGAAAAACTTTTTTACTGTAAGGGTTACAAAGCACTGGAACAGGCTGCCCGGAGAGGTTGTGGGGTCTCCTTCTCTGGAGACATTCAAAAACCACCTGGACGCATTCCTGTGCAACAGCAGCAGACCGTGCAGCAGTCTAGGTGATCCTGCTCCGGCAGGGGGGTTGGACTGGATGATCTTTTGAGGTCCCTTCCAATTCCTACTAGTCTGTGATTCTGTGATCTCAGAATTGAAATGACCCTAAAGGCCAGAATCAGTAGACAAACTTCTCATCTTTGGTAAGAAAACTGAAACTTGTATTAGCAGAATAAAATTGTATAAGGCAAAAAAATTGTCATCCTTTTAAAAAGTTATGAAGATATTAGCCTCATCTAAAGCAAACAGTATTTCACTGTGTAAGAGATATGACTGCAGATAGTGCTGTCATATAAAAGCATGATTTGGATACAGCAAACACTATTACTTAGGCATAAACAATGCAGAGTGTTTGGCTCCTCTGACGGAATACAGAATACATTTATCAAATTACCAAAAAGAAAGCACAACTAAATTCAACTTTCAGCTACACTAAAAAACGTTAACCTTAAAATGCATACAGAAAAGTGTGACTGTTGTTATGCAACTCTGAACCACTTTCATTCAATTTTTCTAATACCTTCTTTTAAAGAGGAAATTATGAGGTAAAGTTAGTGAGAGCCATCAAAAAGAAAACACAGAGCAGTTCCGTACATTTTGGCATCATGCCAGAACAAGCAAGTAACAGTAACCCCCACTTTCCCTGGGAAAATTTAAAAAAAAAAAGAGGAAAAAAAGTGCCATAAGGGAAATATCTTCAATGTTAGGAACATGCATTTGTGCATTTGACAAAAAAAAAAAAAAAGAAACAAACTCCAAAACCAAAGAATCAGAAGAAAACTCAAAAAATAAAAGGAGATTACAAGCAAACAAGCAAAAAGGCAAACAGATCTCAAACCCAACAAACACTGTTTTTCTGGCCAGTCAAAAACTACTCACATGTTCAGTAGTATCATCATATTCCCACTGATTGAGAGTAAAGAATGTTGGAAGGAAAAACAAATGAAATGAACAGATTTGTAGCCTGGTTGAGGTAAGTTTTTCTTCTTAACAGTAAAATATATATGAAAGGTGTCTGGAAAAATCATGTACAATTTGAATTAATCATGCAGAATCATGTAGAATTTGGTAAACAAAATCAGGCCAGGCATTTTAAATTCCATTTCTGCTCTCCCTAAAAGACAGTTACTTCACTTTCCTTGACAGATGAAAGACTTAATGAATCCTCTTGTACAATGTAGTAATATTTTATAATATATTGTAGTAGTAGAAGCCACCAAGGCAGGATTAAAGACTACTTAGTTTCTTTAGTCAGGTTACTAAGCTATAGGCTTGATTTTCATAAATGGATGCAACTCCTTATTTAAATTTCTAGCAGGATTTTTTAGTTTTGAAACCTAACCACACTGATCTTTAACCATCATGTCTTCATACTTGCACAAGTCCTAACTATTTAGGACACAGTACTATGACAGGCAAGAAGGAGTTATGGGAGGAGAAAGGAGGTGACTATCCAGAGTGAACCAATGGCAAACAGGCGGGTCAATGCCTAACTTGGCAAAAAAAAAAAAAATATGGCTTTTGTCTTCATGATATTTAGGCTCCAATATCTCATCCGGTCTCCTGTTTCTGACTTTCTAGTTTCAAAATTATTTTAAACTACTACCAGACAGAGGTTGAAAGTGAAAATCTGTGCAAGGAAGGGAAGAACCAAAATGCAGCAGCATCTCCTTTTCTATCTTCTCTCCCTTTTCCACCCATCCCACTTCCCCACCTGTTTCCATCTTTCTCTCCACTGAATTTAAGCTGTAAGAACATCTTGTTTTGCAAAACAGGTAAATACATATAGACAGACAGACAGACTCGCAGGTAAAACTGCAACAAAAACTTCCATGAACAGAAACAATACTTTGGGAAGAGGGACATTAGCAAAACGCGGGTACAGGAGATCTGTTCTCAGAAAAGATCAGCAGAGCTTAAATTTAGAATTAAGACTTGACAAAGAAACAAAAGAAGACAAAAATCATTTCTTTATTTATATAAATGCTTAAGAAGCAAATTTAAATCTGTATTTAATGCTAGGTTGATAATTTCTTATAAATTCCAGTCTCTCCAGTCATAAATTCAGAGCTAGCAGTGAGAGATGTGTACTTGATAATAGCTTCAATGTAGGATGATTCCTTCAGTACCAGAAGCTATGAGAATCTTCAGTTTTATAGAGTACTAGTGTATCCTAATCAGTAAAATCCCATTTTAGAAGCCTTTTTAAACTTGGCTTTTGTTTTTATCATGTCTCATAATTTATAAAACAGATGGGGAATTCTGCAATACAAGTAACCCCATATCTTTTTAAACTAAGCTCCTCATTTTATTGCACATACATGAATAACGACAAGTATAAATACGTCAGTGATTTCTAAAGTTGTACTTTAGAAAGTATACTATAGAGTAAAGTCTCCAGGTTTAAAGGAGCCAGCAGAATAACACAGCCTAGAATACAGTTGCATAACTATACAGAAAAGGGTGCCTAGGTTTGGCCCCAAAAAAATTAAATACAAGTATTCTGAAAACACGTTGTTAAAACAGAGATAAAACATGTTAGCTAGTAGGCTGGAATATAGAAAGAATAAAAAAGGCAATTCTGGATAGCTCTCTGGTACATGAAATGTTTTCACTGTGACTCAGCAAAGAACATAAAATGCTCTAATTACCTGTGCATCAGCCAGCATGATGTCCTTGAGCATGGGCTGACCCTTTGGCTCTCCATTTTCCATCCTCACATAGTGGACCTGGTATCCTCGGATCTGACCATGCTGCTTATTGGGTACAGGCGAGCGCCATGAAACTTTAACAGCAGTAGAGTTGACAGCCTCTACCTCGACTTTGCGAGGAGGACCACTAGGAACTGGAACAACATCATTGGACAGAAGAGAATTACAGGCACCTGTCCCACCCATGTCTTTTGCTTTTTTTTTTTTAAAGGGCAGACTCGCTATGTTTTCTTTGAAGAATACAAATTGTTTGACAAATGAAAATGCTCAACCAATCTGCTCTACCTTTCAGTGAAAAGATCAAAAAACATGACTGATGCAAAAAATGGAAGAAAAAAGAGTATCAGAGAAATAGAAAAACATGTAAAAATGTACAAAAGCCAAGGAAGATGCTTTGAAATTCAAAGCATTATAATACAAATAGATATTGTAATCATTTAAATTATAATACTACTACTAATAAAAACACAAAAGATTTTAAAAAAGTTTTCCTTATTTTTGTTTGCTAAGTTGTTTCTTTGAGTTTTTTTTCAGTAGTATAAAAAGGAGGCTGATAATAGGGCTGTCTTCTGTCACTTTCAAGCATGGAAGAAATAAATGTGTGGAGCATCAGTTTTCCAAGATCAAAAACAAAACTGGAAAAAAACCCAAACCAAACCCCCAAAAAACCCAAATCAAAAAGCACAACATGGAACAAGAAAGCAGTTAAAAAAGAAAAAGAGCAATACCTGAAAAAAAGTTCACAGACATAAGTGTTTAAAAATAACAATGACTGTAAAAACAAGGAAAAGGCAGAAAGATTGTCCCCTGAGAATCGCTTTTAAGGGAGGAGCAAGAAGGATATGTATGTGCTCAAAGGGGCAGCAGTTTCATGTCACTCACAAAAAGGTACTTTCTGTTAAAAAAATATCAAATATAAAAATGGTGCAGAAAGGACAAGTCTTTCATTAAAAAACTCAAAGGGTGATAGTATCTGTGATTTGGGAGAAAAGAGGAGCAGAAAAAAATACCGTTAGGCTATGCAAAAGACAGCAGATCGACAGAGAGTCATAGATGCGCAAACTGATGTAGTGGAGGCAACATACCATCTTCATCTGTCCGAATCAATACTGCTAAGCTTTCTGGGCCAGGTCCAACATCAGTGTGGGCAGTCACAGAGATCCGGTACTCAGTCCATTTTTCCAGCTGTTCCAAAAGGTATTGGGTACTGTCCGAGGAAATTCCCAAAATTTCATGGGGTGTGACATCTTCTCCATCAATCCCAATGTACTTGATGGAGTATTCAGTGATAATGCCATTCTGTTTTTCCACTGGTGGAGGTTTCCAACTTACCAAAATGCTAGTGGAGCTGGGGCTTGTGCAACTAATGTCTTGAGGAGGAGCTGATGGCTCTAATTTCAGTAGTGGGTTAAAGGAGGATTTGAGTGAAAGGATAGGAGTGATTGAAAAAAATGAACAAAAGAAAAAATAAAAATAAATAAAAGACAACAGAATGAAAATAAAAAATGAACTAAAAAAAGCAGAAACTTAAAAAGGCAAAATGTCAGATAATCATATATACCTTGGCTTATTAACATGAGGAAACTGAAAATGAATAGACCAACTAAATGGTGAAAAAGGATGTAGGGGAAATATATGAAAATGAAACCTCAAAATAATATTACCTACCTTTAATTAAAATCCTTCTTGAAATAAAACAAAAACGTGACACTTCTATGACTACTGACTATCTTTATAATTATCACAATTAGTGCAAGCTGTAGTATTTTGAATGACATGTGATATGTATTTACTTACAAATTTGGACATATCCCCTTCAAGTGGATTTACTTTCTTTGAGAAAAAAAAATTCTTACAGAATTCCTAAAAACTTGCAATAATTGCTAGAAATTACTCTACAAATTACCATTTTTGTAGCCTCCCCACTCTCATAAATTATTATTTTTCCAAGTTTTTTTATAACTGAGTCTGCCTGGCACAAGTCAACTGCAAATTATGTTTAAATGGAAAGCATTTACTGAAATATTTATTGTAGTCAACATACTAGGAGCATGCAGTCAATAGAAGAAGAAAGTCTTAGTCAAAGATTTACCTACCAGGAAAAAGTGACAGGCTTGTTGATTCTGACTGTAACTTGTACTTACCCTAGATCAGCTGTCAGTTTTATTTTTTTTAACTCCTCTTGGAGACACCTTTGCTAGCAAAGAATTAAATCCTACCAGTAATGTAGGTAAGTTCTATAGGAAAAAAAAAAAATCTACCCCCAAACGACGTGTCAAGAAAGCAGGTATTAATTTTACAAAAAGAGATCACAAGCTCAGGATATCAGAATGGTGGGAGATTCTGACTTTGTTTCATCTTTTGTCACCAGCACCAATCTCCCAGAGCAAAAACGCTCACCTTTACTGATTTATACTCCAAGAAGTCTGTTGGCATATTTACCTTTTCCGGGCTCCAGAGCATTTAAGCATGTATGTCATTCCATTGCTTTCAGTGAGGGAATTCAAGTACTGAAAGTTAGGTATGCATTTATGTGCTTAAATGCACTTTGACTGAGCAAAGTCTATGCTTACTAACTGAGATCATTCAGAGCACCAAAAAAGGAGCCACAGTTCAAATTCTGTTGCAGAAGTAGTGGATGTAGACTTTTATTTCTGCTTTCTCTCTTGCAAGGACAACATAAATTTTGGGTGCAGTATCTTTATGATGCCTTTTTTCTTGTATACTATTTTCTTCCCACTTCTTCAGGGAAAAAAAAGAAACAAATGGATTTCTGGTACTTATACTAGGCACATCAAACAAAATTAAATCAACAGAGAAGGCCTAGGACCCTGCTGCGACTTATTGCATTTACACATGTATCCTTCAGTTCCCTACTGCTCTTCTACAAGGATCAGTGGCTTTTTACTCCGTATGATACACTGTTCTTCTAAAGGGAAAACAGGAGGGAATGTACTAGCACTTCAACTTGCTAGAAGAGGTGGATGGGGGGGACAGATGAGAATGATGACATCTGGGGTTTTGTTTCAGGCTAATTTAGTAACCAAGTACTCAAAACATGTTGAGTCCCCTTCTACCATTGACTTGTGCAGGAAGTAAAATACAAGTAAAATGTCCCTTAAGGTTCTTGTATGTAAAGAAATAAATCCCTGTAGCATCTTTCTCTGAAACCAATATGAAAGGCAATAGTGTATTCTGGTGAATATTGCTAATAAACTCAAAGAGGTTTATTAATTTTTAATCCACTATACTCTGAAAATGCAAAATATTACATTTATGTAACTAAGGATAACCTGTAGGCTACTTGTGTAACCAGCTATATTAATATATATAATTTTTAGTTAAAATACACTATCTTTGCAGTAAAGATTTTGCAGTCTTTTCAGCAAGTAACCAGTGTCTGCCTATTGAAATCAACTGCAGTTTCCTACTAGTTGAAGACATAAGGCTGACAAAAATGTAACATGCTCTTGTATTCACGAAGGGAAAAAAAATGGCAATGTGCTTATATATGGAACATGCAACCTTGGCCCTTAAATGTTTATTTTGTATGTAGTCTAAGCAATCCTCACTCAAATAAGAGAATGATCATTCTGAATAGCTGAAGTGGCTCCCACAATAAATAAACTTTTCTTGATCAAATTATTGATTCTGGAATACTAACATTTAAAGGGGCCTTGCCACTATTTTTAAAACTAGCCTTGTGTTATACAATCATATTTTATGCTTATTCCAAATACTTTAGAAGTGCTTCACGACAACATTTAGCTTTTGTAAAAGGTCTGCAGCACTGCTATCTCCAGTCACACTAATTACTATAAATATATAACACTAACAAAGAATGATACTGTAATCACGTCTGTTATGACTGCAAATTAAAAAGCCTCACGTCAATTGAAAATATGAATTTTCTGCTTTGAATTATATTACTTTAAGAAAAGGCCATTTAAATTAAAATAAAGGCTATTTAATGTAAAATAAGTACAAACAGAATTGCACTAAGCTTTCAAATGACACAATGTAATGCAAACTGTCAGGAAAGCATAGCTTATCAGGGAGGAGCGGCACTTGTGGACATCATCCTTGAATATCTGATCATTTTAATTAAGTCTTAATTTAAATTTTTTAAAATACATACATAAATTCCTGACAAATTTTTGCATCTCATTTGCAGACAAATGGCATTTCATGGCATTGTTTCCATAAGCATCCACTTTATGAAAGTTTTAGTACAGTCTGAAATATTCAATCTGCAAATTTTCTGTATTTCAGGGAGATGCTGCAGGAACCACCGAGGAAGGAAATCTGCAGATGGGGCAGGTGGAATTTTACAGGTGAAGGACTGTTATTAATGTACATCTGTATCATAATGAAGCATTTTATCCTATTATAACAGAAAATAAAATATTGTTATTACAGCATAATATTGTCTCCTTAGACATTGGTTTATAGAGTTTTTTCCGAAACTACGTAGGAGCCACTCACATATAAAGCTGATCACAATACACCTAGAAAAATACATATCTTAAGCATTCTTTTGCTGTATTAAGCACCATGAATGCTGTATTTTTATCATTTTGCTTTTTTCCTCTGTGGTTGCCTCTGTGGGCTACTGAGATTAATCTCTTTGAGAAACACAAGACCAGGGAAGAAAGTTAGCAAGGAAAGACACCTACTTGACTGCATGGTTCTCGCTGAGATTTCTGCTGTTGAAGCACCCAGGCCTTGAGGAGAACGAGCAGCTAGACGAAATAAGTACAAGCTGTTTGGCCTTAAGCCTTGCAGGCGATAAGATGTAGTAGGTTCAGTGGAAACCCATTGCTAAAGGTAGGTAATAAGAGGATACCTCGATTAATATTCAGAGACTCTGAATTCCATGTGTTGTTTATAGAAGAAATAATTTTATACTTTATGATTATAAAATTTCTCACTGAGAAAAAAATAAACCAAGAACATAAATCAGAACAAAAGCAAACTAAATCAAAACAAAAATGAATACATTACTTTTGACAAACACACATTAAGGAACAATAATTTTTGAAGTCAACAGCTTATTGGGTATAACTCAGAGCCAGAAATATTGTTTTACTGTTTGAGGAATTAATAGCTGTGTAGAAAGTACAAAAGGCTTTTCAGGCAATAACACAGGAACAAAGCCTTACCTATAGTTATAGCTACCTCTTTTGACTGTGAACTACACGGTTTTAATATGTGAGTAACTTTGGGTTTAATCTTGTAGTTAAATTTGTGTTCAAATGGTTGAGAAGCAAGTTCTTTCAAAGGGTAACTTATTAAGTAGGAGCCTGCATCCTATTTGGAGGTGAAATATGGATCTGGCCCCCATCCACAACATAAGCTTATGCATTCACAGTTTATGTGTGACACGACCATAACATAAACTCAGCTGAAGCATCAGCAATGAGTAGATGGAGGAGAAATCAATGAGGCTGATACTTTCCTGTAGCCTTGTGAGACTGTTGGCTTCTTTCTTTCATCTGGGACACCTGGTATTATCACATTGTCTCTGTACCAGAATAAGTTTATTCTAAAGTCTATGGCACTAATACCACACTCAAACTGAAAATTCTTTAAGAAATAATGGTGCAGAAAAGGTCCATAGAAGGTTTTTATCTTAACCCACATATTTTCTTCTCATATATTACTGAAAGATTAGACAAGCTGGAGAAATCTCTTACATGGTAGCAAAGAGAAACAAAACTTCTCTGAGACTTCAAACAGACATCAAAGTCCAGGTGTAAGTGCAAAAAATCTTAATGGGTCCATAATATGCCCCAAAACTCATCTGCTTCCAAGCCTTTGTAGAGGTGAAGGCTCATAGAGACACAATCAATTTTTGAAACTGGATGAAACTTCTGCCGATGACTCATTGTGAATAATAGCAAATTTCATCACCTTTGCTACCGTTTACACACTCTCAGTCTATCATTAGGCTTACTGCTGGATTTAACAAACTGTTAAACATCAAGACATTGGTACTAAAGAAAGTTAAAAGTTCATCAGTTCTAAACCATCACAGCATTTTATGTCTGACTCTGCAACTAGTATTTAAAAGATGTACAGCCTTTTTACTTACCTCCTCCCCATGCTCTCCATCTTTGTAAACCAGTTCATAGCTGGAAATGGTATCAGAGCGTGGAGGTGTCCAGGAAAGTAATATGCTCGTTTCAGACTCAGGTTCTGCTTTGAAGTTCAGTGGCTGACCAGGCACTAAAGAAAAGTTCAGCAGTGTTTCCAACTGTTTATTTGGGTAGTTCAACACTTATCTTTCAAACCTTTTAAACTATGATCTGAACATTTCACAGAATATTACTTTTATTAAACTTACTGAGCTTAAACAAATGGATTAACTGTACTATGAAATAAATTAATCTGAGGTCAGAAAAAAATAATGATATTTTTAATTCACACATTACAAATTATCAAGGACTTCAAATAAATGCTTTGCAGTGTAAATAATGCACACAGAACTGAAATGCAATTGAACAGAAACTTGGCGATGAATACCAGGACTCTAATAACCTGTATGTGAAATGGCAAATATATACATTCATATATGTATGTGTGTGTATATGGGGAAATGCTAGTATTACTTAAGATTGGCTGGAATAGTAAAAAATAAAGTGTTAAAACCACTACATGTATTTCCAAATCTGAAAACGGTTTGTTCAGCTCATAACTAACTAAATACATCCTGCTTTTTAAGAAGACACCTAAGTATTCAATGCTTTTGCAACCTGAAGAAGTTATAACCTACTGAAGAGATCTTCAGTAATGTTCTCTTTAAGTGGCATATTTCTATTTTCTGGTATTTTCACCAATACAGCTGAATTTCTAGCAACACTTTCTAATCACAAGAACTAAAAATGCAACTTTGATTCCAGTAGTCAAGAAGGTTCCCTGCTGTTACATCTTGTGTAATGGTCACAGAAATTATCAAGACTAAATGCTACCCTCATTTACTTCTGCACATCTATGGCAAACAAAGGTTGACTGGGAAAAGACAGCAAAATATAACCCTGTCATTGGAAAGTACACAATCATTTTGACACCCAAGTTCTAAACCATTACTTTCAGTTAATAATGCTGTTGATAAGGCATGAAATAGTCTTCTACAGCACTTCTAGCTTTTCAAGAGTAAAATGTGGCGTGCTCTTATTTTTTAAGACAAATTATGAGTTGTACTTCTTAGGACATACCAAGAACAGGTGTGATAAGTGGGATGTGACAATAAAGACTGTTTCACAATCATCTTTTGGGGTAGAATTTTATTATAACAATACCAGTATGTTCTTTCGCACAGCAAAAGACTTAAAAACATCACGGACCAAACAGTAAAAACAGTATGTGATTGTAACCTTTATCTTCTCCAGACTTCTATAGAATGTCTCTCTGAGGATAACACTGCCCTCATCTACACTGCTGCAGGTTTGACATCTAACCTTTAAACAGACAGATAACCTGTCAACATGAGGTGCATATTCAAGCTTCTGTGTGGAGGTTGCAAGTCCCTACCATTCACTTATTTTTTATCAGAAATAGGACAAAACAAAAAAAGGATAAGAGTATTTAGCTATTTTTCTAAAAGATGTCTGGTGTAAACAGAGACCACTTTGTGGGTATTGCAAAGTGCAAAAGAGAAAAGATCATGAACCACAGGGACCAATTACAGAAGATATCAACTAAGTACTTATGACAGAAATACTTCTAATTTTATCTTTTTAAAATTGAATGGATTTGAAATTAAGAGGGAGAGAGTGAGATAACTGGATAATTCCTAAATTTTAAACAGATTCTGAAATACCACTGGATAAAACTTTAACTTGGCAAATCTATAGCATTCCTGTATAAATGCATTTACTAGGTGAACATTATAACTTCTTAGGTTAACCACTTCAAAACGCTCCTGAATATTAATCAGACAACAGCTGCAGATTTGCCTCCTGTTGAACATGACTTTAAGTAGATATGGAGCCCCAATGCAGGCTTGCCAAAACTGAATAATAAAATCTGGTATCTAGGCAGCTATTTGGCAGTGTTTATTTTGCTACAGGTTGTTTCAAATGTATCTCGGGAAACTCATGTGGGTACCTGGCTGTAGGCATTTTGTTTGCTTCATCTGACAAAAAGACAAAAACTGGTAAAACTCACCTGTGGAAAAAAAAATATTTGCTTCAACATTTATATAAAAAAATAGGGAAAAAATTATTTCAGCAAAGTAATTGAGCAGTAGGGTTGGAGTTACAAAATCAACTTTGACTCATCATGGAAGGTCAAACAGCAGCTTATGCTATCTGTGCCATGCTATCCAACTTGTGTTTGACATCTGTATCAGAGATGGAGGGCACACACTCCAGGTTTGCAGATGCCATCAAGTTGGGGAGGACCAGCTGACACACTCGAGGGTCAGGTTGCCGTAAAAAGGGAGCTGAAGAGCTGGGAGGAACAGGCTCCCATAAAGTACAGAAAACCATTTCCCAGGAAGGCAGAGCCCTGCAGGGATGCAGGCTGGGGCTGATGGGGCCAGGGAGCAGCTGCTGGGGATGGTCCTGTGCCCTGGCCGTCAGTGAACTGAGCATGGCCCCCCCCCCCAGGGCCCAGACAGCAACAAGGGCAAGCCATGCCTGGGGTGGTCTGAGCAGGAGATGGTCCTGAGAGCCAATGGAGGGCAGGGACTGTCCCCTCTGCTCAGTGCCTGTCAGATCATATCTGGGTACCGCATCTAGTTTTGAGCCTCATCAAAGTGGCTCTGGGCTGAAGCCCTTGTTCTTGCCCTGCAAAGAGAGGCTGAAGGACTGGGTGCTGGTTCAACTGGGAGAAGGGATGGCTTTGGCCGCACCCAGCAGCATCCCTGGCACTGAAGGAATGGAGGAGATGCAGCCAGGCTCTTCACAGCAGTGTGTGGCAGAAGGGTGAGAGGCAGTAGCACAGCTTAAATGGGAAAGGCTCAAGCTGGAGGTAAGGAAAAGCCTTCTCCCCATGACGACAGTCCATTTATGAAGCCCAGGGAGGCTGGACCACAACCAGCCTTGGCGGGGTTTTATGCCTCAACTGGGTGAAGCCCTGAGCAGTCCGGTCTGACCCACAGCTGAGTTTGCTCTGGGTACGGGCTGGGGCAGGGGCTCCCCAGAAGATCACCCTGCCAGCCTAAATCATCCTGTGATGCCTGTGATCTATGTTTACCGTATGGATCCATGAACTGTAGAACACAGCCAGGTAGTAATAATACATAACCAGTTAAGTGACCCGTATGAAGGCTGGTACCATCCATTATGATAAACATAGCAGCAGAAGGAGAATGAAGGGTACTTCCTGTCTCTCTGCACACTTTAAGACCCTCAGTATCCAAGTATTCCTTTCAAAACCCTTTATGGTTTTAGGTCTGCAATTCTCTATCATTTTACAAGACAAGTTGACAGTTGCACTTTCCCAAATGCTGTTTGTCAAAATAGTATCTTGCTGCAAAATCTGGTCTCCCCTCACATTTCTAAACCACAGTTAGGCAACTCTGAAGCTGAAAACAGTGAAAGAAGGAAGAGGCGACAGGGAAATCTGCATCACTCCAAAAAGAGAAGATGGAGAAGAAAGCACATAAGAACAAAATAAGAGAAACTAAACAAACTGTATTGCTGATAAACTCTGGTAGGAAACCCAAGGCTTAAGACAGAGTACCAGATAAGAAACAGGAAGAGTAACTTTTAAACTATTTAGGATTTATGCCTAGAACACACAACATCTGCTCAAAAAATTCTTCAGTGGCACATGGGAACTACGCCAAACTGGAGGAGCTGACAGATGGAACTGGTCTCCTTCAGAGGTGGAAAAAACCAAGGGAGGATGGAAAAATCTATGTAAGTGGACTTTATTCTCTTGGTGAAGTGCAGATCAAATCTAACTTCCATATTGATGCTGTACATGGTCAGCTCACCAATTAGGATCTTTTTGCATAAGTGTTCTGTCAGTATTGTTTATTCTGTCTTTTCTGCTTTGAGGTCAATGTGTTCTACAAATGTACATTAAAACCCATACCTTTCCTGTACATGGAGTATACCTCTTCTTTCTTGCTTCTAAACATGACAAAACTTACGTAGTAAACATGATGAAACACAAAAATGCAATGATAAAAATAATAACAAGGTCCAAAATTATTATTCTCAAAACTCCACACCAGGTTCTACATCTTTGCCTGCCCAGTCCCCCATGTCTTTTGCTGGATAGCCAGAAACAAACACAGATTGCTGGGCCTCGTCCTACATATGTGGTTCTATGTCCGTTGCTGATTCAAGTGTCAGAACAGAATCATAAAATGGGATCTCAAATTGTAAAGGCACTTTAGCTCCCTACACAGCCCCTCAGCTGGCTGAGGTAACCCAAAAAATACTCCAGGGCTGTGCTGGCTTTGCAAATGATGCTGGAAAGAGAATATTATCTCCAGGATAAAACGGGCCCCAAGACATTGCTACAGTGAAATCCATACCCAGAGAAAACTCTGTAGTTTTTGTTTTGTAAAATAGTACTAGTACATTTTGAAATACCAGATTCTCATGGAATACTATAAAATATAACAGGTACTGTAATAACTATATGTTCATCCTGATTTCCTTCAGTCTTTCTGCTACAACAAAAATAACTTCTTCAAATGAGTCTGAAGATAGTTGAGGCTTGCAGTTCTGCAGTATTGAACTCAGAACTACATTATTCAAAATAATTAACTTCCAATTTCCAAATGTCCAAATGCCCAAAAAGCATAGCATGTTTTGTGAAAAATAATCAGAAATCCATAAATTAATTTAAAATAATATTCATAACTAACATTGGAGTATAGAGAATAAACTAAACATGTTAGTCAGTCTTAAGATAGAATCCACATAGTCTCGTCTGAATAGCTAGAGAACATAGTGGAGAGAAGAATTATTCTTAAGAGTAATTCTGTCTACACTTTACTTCTAGACTGTAGCAGTAGAATTGTCTTAAAATTATTTCAAGCTACAATCTTCCCTACTTAATTAAGTTCAGTGACAAAATTAATGTGCTCATTCATATATTTGCAAAAATCAGAAATCTGGACTAGAAAAAAATCAGTTTTAAAAAAGAAAAAATCCCATATCCATACCCTATTTTGTGTTCTAAACTAAAGGAAGAGAGGGAGACTAAAAGTTAGAAAAATCATTGTGTGAGGGTAAAATCCTTAATATTGAGCTCATTGTGTTATAATTTAAATGAAGTAAACACTTCATGGGGCTGGGGTACTTAACAGAAGTTAACCGTGCTTTAGGAGTAGGGAGGTTATTCAAAAGTTGAAATATTCTTTCCTATCTGACCAGAAACATTCCTTAAGATGAAAACTGCTGCTTAACAAACATCCTGCACCCCACTTCAGCTCCAAATTGCTCTCCTTCCACCTGTTTCTTTGCATCATGGTTGACTTTCCACTTCCATGCTTCAACCCTTCCCTTGTAGAAGTCCACTTTCATGAAATGCTTCACTAGGAGACTAGTACTGCAGAGTTTCAGAGACATGAGGTTTCTCCATTCATATGTGCACGAAAAGATTTTAAATGTCTGGCAAAGCAGCTAGCTTGCTACATCACAGAATTGTATTCCCATGCTACAATCTCTTCCTCTGAATTCCTAATCTTCTTTTGCAGTAAGAACTCCAGAACCATTAACTCATTTCCCTTAAGCTAAGACTGTATTTATGTGCTCTGCAAGCAGATACTTGACCTTCACATTATTGTCCTTCCTTCATATGTTCAAAAGATTAGACTTTTATAACTGTAATAATCCTTGGTCTTCAAACCATTGCCAATCCTTGGTTTAAAATTAACAATGTGTTTTATATTGTAAGTTCTTGTTTAAAGAAGCATTTGTTTACAGGTGCAGATTAATTTCTCAAATTGTTTCTTCTCTCTTTCTCTAGTAATCTACTATCTAATAGACCTTGTGTATCTTTCACTCTCTCTTCTTTCTACTAAAGTCAGAATAAAAACCAGGATTCTCTGAAATCCTTCAGTAGCTATTCTGTCTTTGCACATTAAATTAAAGCAAAACAAAACAAAACTAAAACCAAACCCAGACATTCAGTTTACAGCTCAAGAATTTTCCTGGTAGACACAGGTTAAAGTATGTTGCTCTGAGAGTATATGTACTTCTGACTAGTTTAAGCAAAGAAAGAAAATATGAGAAGATACATAAGAAATGTGTCCTAAGAAGCTAAGTAGAGAAAAACAAAAACAACAAAACCAACATTGCTTTTGTTTTCTAGTGAAGTAAGGCAAAAGGATAAGAAGTATCACACTAAAGCTTATATCAACATTTCTAAGTCAATTCACCTGAATAATACACTGATCCTGACCCCATCCTCAGTAGAATCAAATCCCTTGACCCAAAATGCAAAAGGACTTTCTTAGGAAAGGAACTATAGGAATTGATCTTCCCTCATTCAAAAGGCTCTACAGCTGTTTTTTGACTAGATAATATCTTAATAATGGTGTCTTTTTACAGGAAAAAATACCCCACTACTCAAAACAACTGGGCAATAGGACATGGCTTTCTCTTAAAATGCTTAAGCAGAATACTGAAACACAAAACCGAGCTTCAAAATTTTTAATGTTTGATTGTGTGAAAAAGTCTTCCATTCCCCTCAAACTACATGTTCCTAGTTAATATTTTAATCAGAAACCTAATTTTTAGTATCAGCAGTTTCAGCGGACCTGCAAAGTGAGAAGCTACTCATACAGCCATTTAAAAGAAAAATTCAGCTGTACTAAGAAAGCAAATATTCTTGTAAACAGGTTTTTTTTAACAGAAATTATTCATTTTTTCATGATCTCTCTCAAAAGATCAGAATATACATAAAGGAAGAAAGCTCTGAAGGTAACCAAGCTAACAGAGCCTGTAAGTCACAGCTGTCAATCAATTTTGTTACATCTGTACTCTAATATTCTCAAAGCATAAGGGTTAACATACATATTAACAATGATAGGCTTATTTGTTAAAAAAAAAACAAAAAAACAAACGTAATCACCACTCCATTCCTATTTTTACTCTTTTCAATATGTTTCCATTAAATCCATTTCCGCTGTTTTTAAATGGACTTTATTATTCACTATATTTGTTAGGAGAAGTTTTAGCCTGAGAGAGTCTTAAACCAAAACAATCATATTCAGATTTAGATTAGAGCAAATCTGGAAGAGAAGGGCAATGAGGGCATTTTAGTCTGCAATCTTCACTGAAGAGAAACTGCTGGGTAGAAAAATGGGAGAATCTTAGTTTTTAAACATACCACGAACTGGAGAACTGCGCTAGACTTTCTTAGCTATTTTTGTCTGTTTTATGAATTAAAATGTTCATATTTCAAGCAAAAGGTAACAGTGCTTAAAAATGTCACGTTTACATCACATTTCTGGTTTTCTTTTGCTTTTTAACATAGTCACAAATAAACAATGTCAAGTCAACTCTGTTCCAAATTTGAAAACATGTACTGAGAACCCTTCTGCACTGTTAATGTTGTCATAATTTCTTCATATTGCAAACATAATTGGAAACAGATGGGCACATTTAATGGCAAGCTCTATACATGTTTTAATAAACAGAGCTTTTCTGAAGTGACCTCAACAAGTAATGCAACTTGGGCTGGTCCAGCTGAGCCTCAGTAGTCATTATTTTAATTGCTTCACACTTCTCCAGTGAAGCCACTGACAAACTCTTGCTAATCTAAAAGGCTTATGGTTGCAAGTGAAAATACAGATGAGAATCTCACTAAACCTTCTTTTTTAAAAGCTTTTTCCACATGGATTCAAAAAGAAGTCAGATGTCAATAATATAAAAATTAGTCCCTGAAAAGAGTTATAATTGCTAAAATAAACTATAATGTACATATTTTCATTTGCATGTGCACAGACACATTTCAATGTGTCTCTACAAGGTCTAAAAAAGTTAATTTAGTAACTTCTCAGCTGAGATACTGCAAAAGGTAACACCTAGACCTCTATGTAACATAACACTTTCCAGGACAATACCTCAATTTCTGTTCTTTATTAAATCCGTATTGGTAAAACACAGAAGTAAAAAGTGGATGAAACATAACTGTCTTCAGGTAGACTTCAGAGATACTTTTCTTTAAGAATTTGAGGGTTGCTAAATTCTTCAACAGGAAACTTTCCAGTACTAAAAAAAATCAAGTAGTATTATATAATATTTCTAGGCAATCACTGACTATAGTAATAATACTTCATACAGGTTTTTTAAACTGTTAGACAAAGGGACATTTTATTTCTTATTGCTACAATAAAACACTTTGTACAGTGTAGCTCCACCAGAGCTTCTCACTCTTGATTTCATAAAATTTCTCTTTCACTATACTTGCTCTTCCTTTGCTAATAAAACTAATTCATGGACCTAAAACTCTATACAGAAACAAAACAACCTAACTGTAAACATAAAAGAAGAAAATGGTGACCTTCTGGTATGCACTTTGTAGGGGCAGGTTGGATTTGATTTATAAATCCAAAGTGTACAGAACTGCTGGCTTGAACCTACACAAAGTTTTGCTGGTATTTTTTTTATGCTTTCAAGTTTTACATTTTTTCAGAACTTTAATGGCTATTTGAATACACATGCAGTATATGTGCATTTTAAATTTCCAAAACAAAAATTCACTAGAGTGATGCAGCATAAGGGAACCAGTATCCCCTAAACAAAACCCATCAACATTGGTAACTCCTCAAAGAAAGCTGTGAAGAACTACTTGACAAACACTTCTGGTGCACAGAGCACTGTCAAATAGAAGAGACAGCATTTGGCCACCTCTAGGATGAAACTGTCCCTAAGATTTCAGTTAAACTTCATTTAAAATTCTTGAGATTGATTAAAAAAGAAATGAAAGTGTGAGGGGGTAAGTTCCACTCTTCAATGATAACTTGCACTGTGGAATTGAGAAAAGCTGCCTGAATAAATTGACTATCCTTGAGAGGAAGTTTTTTCAATATTTTAAATTCACATTCTCTTTCCGCAAAATTTCTGCATGTATTTAATTTTTTCACACAAATTCAGTTATTTGCTAGCTTACCTCCTGTTTGAGTGATGACTTGAATGTCACTAGAAAGTGGTCCATCCCCAACAGAAGTAAAAGCAAGAACCTTCACAGAGTATGTTTTCTGGGGTATCAGATTTCCAATAGTGGTAATATGGCTGTCAGCCACATTGTGCTTCATCCAACTGTTGACATGTTGAGTGGGGTCCATGGTGTAATAAACTCTGTAACCTTGTATCTGTCCATTAGGTTCCTCAGGTTCTTCCCACTGTACCAAAATGGTGGTAGAGCTCAACATACGGGCCTGTACATTGCGTGGTGCACTTGAAGGGGCTTGCTCTGAAGTCCTTGTTGACACAGGCTCACTGGGTGGTCCTCTGCCGATGTTATTTACAGCAACCACCCGAAATTCATACTCTGAATATGGGCTTAGGCCAGCGACACTATAGCGTGTTGTGGCTACCCCATCAATTTCCTTATATTGCTCCTCAGAGTTTTTGGGTTTGTGTCGAATTATGTAGTAAGAAACTGGCTCAGGGTTTCCAGAATCCCAAGTCAATGTTATACTTGTCGCTGTGCTTTCTGTCACCACAGGTATTCCAGGAGGCTTGGGTAAGGCTAAAGGCAAATGCCAAAAAAACACATTTAGCACTATGAAACAGTAGGTTTTTATTATTACAATAAACAGCTTAAAAACCAAAACAAACAACAACAACAAAACAGGAAGATTGGAATGGAAAGAAGATGTGATCTGTTCAGAGCAAGCTTTTGGCAATTATGATTTACTCCAGAAATCTATCAGAAAATCTTCAAATTTTGTAGTTTAATGTTTATTTGATATAAATGAACATTACTAACTTTTATAATAGATCCTGTAAACATATGCAAAAGATGATTCTTATAGACAGACATAGAGAGACACTGCAACATAATTTTCAGATATTTTTGGAATCTCTAGTTTCCAATTGCTCAGTGAATATGATACTTGGACGCCCAGCAGCAATAAAAAGCAAATGACTGGTTCTTAAAGGTTCCTGCTGTTGACAAGTATATGCAAGATTACAAGATCTTTTATTTATTTGAAACAAAGGCTGGGAGCTAGACACAGGAGATTAAAGGAAAATTATGATTAACTTATTTATTAGTGTCATTGCTGTCTAAATCTAAGTTTTGTCTTATGCAGATGATTGGCTGGAATATTAAGAGGGCAAGAGGCCTTTAACTCCTTTAAGTGGAATATATTTGCTCACAATATGGCAATGAATGAAAGAAAAGATTGAACTATGTCCAAATGTATATGATTGGGATATACCTTTGACAGTTATCTGAGCTATTGCTTCTATCACACCAAGGGTAGACATAGCAACACAAGTATAGTTTGCAGACTGCCTGACATCATTAAGCTCAAGGACGTTCCTCCCTATTGGCATATCATCCTCAGGTGTCAAATCTTCTGCTCCTAGCATCCATTTCACATAAGGCATTGGTGACCCCACCGCAACACACGTGATATTTACGCTCCCGCCAGGCATGATCTCATGATTGGTGGGGGGAATAGAGAACCTCGGTGGGACTCGTCGAACTAGAACAAAACACAGAAAAAGGTAATAACATATACAAAAAAACCCCCTGAGTCTTGCATATGGACTACATGCAGTGTACAGACACAATTTAATGTTTTAACGTATTATTCTGATCTACCAGAAAATATGTATCAAAGAAATACAAGACTAAGCAAGAATTTTGTCTGCACACAATGTGAATTATTCTATATTTACTTCAAGATATCATTAGGCACATTCATACAAAGGCTGATTCAGACCTATTAGGGCCTCACAGTTAACTAACTACATACTAACAATACACAAAAACCATGCAAACGATACACACACACACACACACGCACACGCACACACATACACGCACGCACGCACACACACACACGTGCACACATATATATGTGTATATATATGCATTTTATATGCCCATACACATATATACGCACAGAAGAAAACTGGAAAGTCAACAGCATGCTTGAGTTGATTACCAAAACCAACTTCAATGCTGTGTGCTTCCAGTTGATGTGAATAAATGTGCAAGGCCACATTGTCACATCACAGTCCTGTAACACATTGCCTACAGTACATTGAAAATGCAATTTCATTTGCTTTCAGACTCAAAGTAGATGCAGCCTCAAGACCTCACACTAACACTGAAACAAACATTGAAAAAAATATAAATATACACAGATACAAATATATAT